AATTTGGCATGGGTTTTGAAATCGCGTTTTTCCAGGCGGAAATGTTATTCTACAGGTAATAATTTTTCATGGGGAGTCGACTTAATTCGATTGCGATAATTATTAATTCTGTAGTGAAAGGACCATTCAGATTTTCCTACATATTGTTTCTGTCATAGTGTGCATTCTAGGAGGTAAATTATGCTAGGACTTCTACAGTTAGAACCATGGTAGATTTTGAAAGTAGATTTAGTGATTGAGCTAGTGAATGAATTCGTATGTTTAATATGGTTGCAACATAAACTTCTTTTGTTGTTACATGGTAGGGAAAATCCTGTTGTTTTTGTTCTTAGTTTATTACGAATTACCTTGTCTCCTGAAATGTGGTTACTACCTATGATTTCTTTTAGGTTCTTAGGTCTGCGATATGCAAGAAGGCCGGGTTATTAAACAATTTTTTTTAGGTCTGGTTTGAGATGTATTTTCTCAGCGACGTTTGATTATTTGGGATAGTGGAGGCAGAGTGGGGTTGAAAGTAGTTACTAGAGGAATGCGGCTAGATTTAAATTTTTATTTTTTTCTTATATATATATATATATATATATATATATATATATATATATATATATATATATATATATATATAGCACATCATCGGTAGATCTGTCATAACGGAAGACATATTGTTTGTCAGAAAGTTTTTGTGACAGGTAAGATACTTAACCATTGCTACATTAATTAAAGCCTTGAATAGTTCGACAGAATGCGGTAGGAGACTAACGTGGCGAGAAGGTTCTCCAGAGTTCTTAAAAACAGGAACTACAGATGACTTTAAGTAAGCAGGAAAGCATGAAGGAGCGAGGAAATAGTTGTAAACTTTTGAGAGAACTAGAACCAGTTCGGTAGCACATTTCTTTATGAGAGCTCGAAGCTCCTCACCTCCGCTTGCCTTGTCGGAGTCAAATTTAGAAATAATGTCTGAGACTTATGCCCATATCACTTAGAAGAGCATATGTTCTTAGAGGGAAATCAGTTGTGGATTCTCAAATTGAATCGAGTGTTGAGCCGGAAGAGATTCTCCGAGCAAAGCGTTCAACCATATCTGCTGTAGATGCCAGAACAATCGATTGAATTGAGCAGGGATGAATAATTTGCTGCTCTTCAGTACACTATTGCAAAGTCGCCAATAATCTCTAGAACCGAATTTACGAGATGGTACACGTTGTTTCATTTTATCAGCAAACAGTAACTACACTTCTTTGATGACACGCTTCCACTCTTTACTAGCAGAGACAAAGTGACGTTTGTTGCAATCAGATGTGTCCCTCTGGTACTGCCGGAAGAAGTGATTCCTGTGGGCTATATACATAAAATGCAGGTTAGAATGTCATGCGGTTTAACGTGGCATCTCCTTGCTGGAAAGAAAGCATCGATTCCGGCTTGCACTCAGGTAAAAACTTCTGACGAGCTTTTATGAACAGGATGACTAAAAAAGGAATCAATCCGCACGTTGAAAAAAGAAATATATTCTGTTGGTGTGTGGTTATTAGTTGGCAGTGGAGCGGAAAGATATGTTAACAGGCAGTACCGCATGATCAGATTTGTCAATAGACAAAGCTGCAAAGTAGAAAATGAGTCCGGGATAGCGTTAAAAATGTGATATAGAAGAGAAGCTTGTCTATCATGGTTACTGAGGAAACGCGTGGGGAAGTCCATCACATGTGCGAGAGATTGAATAATTGACGTCAGTGACAGATTGTTCAATCCACTAGGCATAGCGGGCCTAAAGTTACTGAACACAAATATATTTGCAGACGGATGGAGTGAGATGGCCTTGTCTATATTATCAGAAATACACTCGAGCATGCAACAGTGATGAGAGGAAGGGTTATGACAAAGAAAAAAGAGATAGCTGACTGAGTTAAATAGAAACAAATGGAGGCACATGTAAGAATGGTGCGAGGATTCAACAGAGAGTTTCCTAGTCATTGAGAGAAATTAAAGGACATAAACTCCCACGTCAAGCATGTGGACATTAACGTACTTCCTAAGGAGAAGAAGATAGCCAGGAATCTTGAAATCAGTGAAGGAGATAAGGATTTAAGATCAGATTCACACAGAGTTAGGGTATCCGGAGACTTTACGAAGAGGAATGATTCCACACTGCAGAAGTTGGTAAAGATACCACACATGTTGAAGAAAGAAACGTTTATTTGTGCTTAAGTGAATAAACGTACAGGAAGGGAACTGCAGACTGAAACATATTGTGACCTCGGGGTAATTAACCGGAGTTGTTTGCAGGGACACACATCCATTCACGACATGGTACTTCAAGAACCCAGATATTATGTAACTGTTGATCAGTAGCTCAGGACCATACGCATGAGTTCTGCCCAATAACTACCAGTCGAGAAGAGTAGCAAGAAAACTGCCAACCCCGTAACCTCATTATAAAGAGACGTTTCCGTCAACCTCATATAGAAGAAAACTATTGACGACAGAACCACTATCAAGGCCTGAGAAAAGGAAAGGAACAAGGAACCCCTTCCTAAACAAGAAACAAAATATGAGGCTATAGCCCTGTTCAAGAAAAGGAGTATTTACTCTTATTAAGAAAAAAAAGAAAAAGGAATACAAGCAAAAATACAAAACAAAAACAAACAAGTACAGAAAAAAAGTCCACTTATTTCGAGGAATGAAAATTCAGATAACTAATTTGGAGAGTCAATCAGCGCTCATAGAACTTTTGACCATGCGATGTTTAACTGACATTGTAGTATATTATTAGGGGAAAGGAGGTAATAGGAATGTGGTAATAAAATTGGTAAACCACACAATGTTCCTTGTAAGGTAGCTGGCCAGTGTGGTAGTGTAGCAGTGAGCTTTATAAGGACAGAGTAGACTGACATCGTTTCAATGGTACTTTTAAAAAATTACGGAAAATTTGAAGTGATTTTTTTTCTGATTTCCATGTATACGACTATCTATCGCTTGGGACGGGAGGTGATGGTCTTAAGGACTGCTTTAGTTAACCTATTTTAGTTTGGCTTTTGTCAAAGTAATTCGAATTTTTCCCTGATCTCCAGAACAAACAATCAACGACAAACGAGCAGAACATGATATATATATATATATATATATATATATATATATATATATATATATATATATATATATATATATATATACAGGACACACAATTGAATGAAGCGCATTAAGGTTTAAAGTTTGAGTTTTTTTTATAAGTTTTAACTTAGTATAAGTCCAAGTACCCACTTTGCTGGGAAACTATCAAATGGAAATTTCCCCATTTATTTATCCACTCAGGCAGGGCTCCCATTAAAATGTAGTATCGAGAATTAACGTTAAAATATGTTTTTTCTTTAAAAAAAAAATTAATAAATATATTTTATAAACTTCAACCGAATATAGCCGTGGCAGTTCGGACAGTGAATGTCGAATGTTTCTATAAAAGGGAATTGCTGATATTTCCATTGTCACTAACATTTTGTTGGTTCTTTTCATTGTTTTCTTTCATTCTTCTATTCGTTCTCAACAAAGAATCCCCAAATTATTTAATATTTCTTTCTTAGATTTATCGTTTCTCTCTGTTATCCATGTAAGTTTCTTCTTGTTGTCAGGTCTATTGTTATATTGCCTTGTCTGGTACGATCACTGAAGTTAAGCAACATCGAGACTAGTGAGTACCTAAATGAGTGACAACTGAAGAATACCAGCTACTATGGTGTATTCGATAACAGTTCGCAATTGAAAATAGCAGAGCCGAGTTTTAATTCCAGTCGGTTTCGTCTATTCACTTAAGCACAAATAAACTGTTCAAAGGTATGAATCCACATCTTTTCCAGTTACGAGGCAATTATTAAGACTTGTATCAATAAATCATTGTTATATCAAATAAATTCTAACAATCCAGAAATATTTTGTGACTTCTGATATCTAATCTCCAAAAGTTTGATAAGCCTTAAAATAACCAATGAGTCAATCAATCAAAGCATTGAGGCTGTTTCAACTTCTTTTTGTAATTATTGGTAGAGATTTTCGGTCAGAGTTTAGGAAAAATTTAGTAAACAGAGACAAAATATCAAAGGATAGGAGGAGAATCATCTTTGGTCCAGTCTACTTGTATATCCACTCCAAACGCCAGGTAATCTACTTAATATTTTACCTGCCAGCTTCTTCATTATCAATTATTGGATAAATTTGTGGAAATATCTCCAACGTGACAGACATTCATGAATATATGATTGTTCCCGTGGTTGCAATATTTATTCGAAGGTGTTTGCTTTTCTAGAATTTCTGTTTCTTTTCGAAAGTCACAGACATATTTTAGGAATCTATCTATCACAATGTCTTCATCTCTCACTATATATATATATATATATATATATATATATATATATATATATATATATATATATATAAGAAATATACTTTTAAGGTGTGTTATATTTATGGGATAAAAACTCAATATTAGAGATAGAGCGTGTGTAAATATAAAAAGTGAACATTGAAGTCAACACTTAGAGGCGACAGGCTGTTTCATGCTAGATGCAATCTAGTGAAACAGCCTATCGTCTCTAAGTGTTGACTTCAATGTTCACTTTATATATATATATATATATATATATATATATATATATATATATATATATGTATGTATCAGATTGTTGATATCTATCTATATTAAAAATAAGAGGTTGATGAAAACTTACTCTACGTGCCTGTTTTCGATTTTTGTAATTGTTGTCTTTTTTTATCCGTGTGTCTGTCTATCTATCAATTTATGTATATATATATGTCCATCTACGATCATATCTATCTAAGATCATATCTATATGTCTATCTATCTACGATCATATCTGTCTATCGGAATATTTATCTATGATCACATATCTATTTCTCTATCGCTCTATGTATTGATGATCATATCTATGTATCTCTATCTATCTATTTATCTATCTATGATCATATATATGCTATATCATATCTATATAGCATAGGCTGTACATATACTCTCCATCGCTCTCTCACTCTCTCCCTATCGATCTATCTATCTATCTATCTCAGTGTATCGATATTTTTATTACAACGATGACTTTCATAGCTGTTTTAGTTTCACATTCATCGTCGTTATCTATCTATCTATCTATATCTATATCTATATATGTTGCTCTCTCCCTTCAATTCCCTCTCTCTCTCTATCTCTGTCATAATCTCTCCCTTATCTATCTATCTATCTATCTATCTATCTATCTATCTATCTATCTAACCTGCGTCCGTCTTTGTGGGACAAAAACACGCTTTGATCCAGTGTGCTCTCGACTGCAAGGTCACACAGAACGACAAATCCCAGCAAAATTTTATTTGTCCTTTTACGGTGCGACCCTGCCGGGGAGCATATTTTTTTTAAGTTTCCTCATGCGCACAGACCAATAGGCCCACTGTTACTATTAAAAAGGGAACGACTATTTCAAACAAGTGTAACTTCTAAAGTTTGAAAAATAAAAATGTCGAAATAAAATAAATACATGAATTCTTTAGAAATGGCCTCGTTTACTTTTTAGATACGAAATCAAAAAGATATGTAATTTCAAGAACATCTGAACGATTGAATGTGAATTTCCTTATAAAGGAAAATAGAAACTGATCTATGATCTAGCGGTCGAAATCACGCCGGTTAACGGAGTTTTCACTTACAATGTGTAACACAGGCATAGATCGAGAGAGTTTACAGTTTATTAAGTCATTTTGAGTGTTCAGGATTATTAGCCTTAATACATATTGTTTTAAAAACAAAAACAAAAAAGAAAAGGACTGTCGATATCAAAAACAATTAATGTTTGTCGGCGTAATAAAATATATATATATATATATATATATATATATATATATATATATATATATATATATATATATTTTTTTTATTGGAGAATTTTATTACATTATTTATTTTTGATATAGACAGTCCTTTTTTGTTTTGTTATATATATATATATATATATATATATATAGATAGATAGATAGATAGATAGACACATAGATATATGTATGTATGACTTGACTAATGCATGGAATAATAATGCAACACAAAATGTACTTAGAACAAAAAGTATTGAAACAAGAAAGTGTACACAATATTTACATATAGTCTTTTGTATATTCCTGGTAAGACCGTTCCTGGGGAAAGTGTTGACTGAGTCGCAGTCGGGCAGAGTCTCTGGTTGAATCTCTTGATTCCACACCCTCTTCCCGGTACTAACTATATTTATATGGTCGGTACTCCACTATGCAAATTAGGTGGATCCTACCACAACAGTATGTATCAATAATCAATTTACTTTTTATTGGAGAATTTTATTACGTCAAACATAATTTGTTTTTGTTATAGGCAGTCCTTTTTTTGCTTTGTTATATATATATATATATATATATATGTATGTATGTATGTATATAAATAAAAAAAAAGAACAGTAAGATATATAATCCGGTGTTCTTATAGATATTTTTATTTTTACAAAATAGTGCTCAATGTAAATTTACAGAGTATTAATTCGCGTGAGGCCGAAATGGAACTAATGTCTTTAATTTAATTGCAAAATTAAATTCGTGGCTTTTAGCTTCCATTTTTGAAACATCGTTAGAACTGTGTAGCGAAAAAACATATTTTAAATCAATTAATTTATAATATATATATATATATATATATATATATATATATATATATATATATATATATATAATCAATTTACTTTTTATTGGAGAATATTATTACGCTAAACATTATTTGTTTTTTATTATAGACTGTCCTTTTTTTAAACAATGCGTATTAAATTTAACAACCTGAAAACTTAAAATAACTTAAAAACTGTACACTATATATATATATATATATATATATATATATATATATATATATATATATATATATATATATATATATATATATATATATATATGTATGTATGTATAAGTGTGCATTGAGGTCAACATCCAACAGCGAGAATCTGCTTCATCCTTAAATTAAATCATCAGCCCATCCTGCATTTAACCATGAAAGAGACTGTCGCCACTAGTTGTTGCCACCAATGTCCATTTTTACTCACATCCACTCTATCCCTGATATTGAGCTCTTTAACACATACATATATCACATATTAAAACTATATTTTTATCATACACACACACGCACATATCTATCTATCTATCTGATAATATTTTACATAGCTACACAAATCTGTCATGTTTCGGAACTATAATGTTTTTACATCGGGCGATTATAGGCAACTTGGATAGATAGATAGGTACGTTATCTATCATCGCTCGAATGGGGGATATTTTTTCTTTTAATTTTAATTTTCCCATAATACCTCTTTTATTTTCTCTGATTGTTGGGGTTGTCTTTCTCTTCTATAATACCCTCTCTCTTATCCTTTGTAGCTTCTCTCTCTCTATTTCCCACATCGTCTTCATTTTATTTCTCAATACTTCATTTTTTTTAATCGAATATCTACTTACTTTATTTACATTTTTATGGCTGTTGCCCTCATCTATATTTTCATATTCACGGCGCTCCGGCCTTCTTTACGTGATATACGTTGGAAGTTAGAACCGAGCACTTTTTTTTTGTTCACCAGAGCGGATTGTTCTAGTTCTATGTGCCATGCCTCTGGCGGATATATTAGTTTCAGTTATTTCCCTTTAGAAACTCAGCTCTCCACGTTTTTGTTCACATCTGCTGTGGAGAGGTATTGCACACAAAACTCTTTGAATCACTGGCTTATTCAAACCAAGGCATTTATCTACTGGGCCATGTGTCCCCAAGGATAGAGTTAAGTTACTAAAGGGAAATAAATGACATTAAGATATCCAGAAAAATCTAGCACCGGTAGATTAAATTTCAAAGTATATTACCTGAAGAACGCCGGGGCGTACAAATATCGAAATGTCGTAAATATGAAAATAAAGATGAGCACAATAGTTCGATTAATGTAAATAATGTAAATAATTAGAATACCTCATCTCAGAAATATGGACAGATCATGAAGGAAGCCAGAACTTAAAATGGCCGAAATGACGTGAATATGTCAATGAAGATGAGAACAACAGTCCGGAGAATATAAATACTGTAATTAGTTAAATAGCTAATATCAGAAATATAGATAGATCTTGAAGGAAGCCGGAGAGTACAACGGCCGAAATCTCGTGAATGAGGCAATGAAAATGAGGACGAACAGTACGGACAATATAAATAGCGCAAATAGTTACTATGTCTCATCTCAGAAATATAGACAGATATTGAATATTTACTTTTATCCAGATATTCTATCTTACTAGAAGGAAAATGTTATTGTTTAAAAGAAATGAAGAGTACGTTTAGTTTTCTTTTCCTTTTTGCTAAGACGCTGATTGGCATTGATTCGAAGAAAACTGGTTTGAAAATTCCTCGAAAGAAAAGAAAACAATATTGCTACCCTGCTTGGCCACACAATTAAATTAATGGCCGGTGCCAGGATGTCCAACGGTTAGGTCAACTTAATGAAGATGTTTTTCATCCACTTGGTCTGTGAAGAGTGAAATATCACAGAAAGAAAGACGAGAAAGAAAGACAATAAGAGATACGCTTAAATATTTATTGAAAATTAAATAGTCTCTTTAAATAACGCCTCCCTTTGAAGCAACGACAATTAGTGTCATCACGCTGGGATAAAGATAATAAATATTGTGTGTAGATTCTAGTTTCCTGCAGGAGTGTATTTCTTTATTTATGTATCATTAGTTTGAGTGACAAACGTTTAAAGTATTTTTATTAATTTACCTAGCCTTAGATAAATTCTCAGTCATTCTTAGTAGAGAAAACCCCATCAATATTACAAAAAATAATGGCCATTAGCTGACTTGAAAAAACCATTATTGCATAGATATTATATTATTATTATTATTATTATTATTATTATTATTATTATTATTATTATATATCGGGACTAAATTTGTTCTGTGGTCTAAACAACTTGCGAAATTCACCATAAATGATAACCACTCTTGGGCTTATACTTAGAAATCTGTGTCGAAGAAACGGACGTTTAAGCTTTTTGCGAAATTTTATTCAATGCAATTTCACTACTGACCATAAGTGAGGTTCACCTATTTTTTTTTATTTTCAATCATTTGCCAGGGGAGACAACTATGTTTGCTTTCATCGCAATTAGTATACCAGGCTTGATCTTCAAGGGATGTTACATGCTTCTTGACTTGTACCTGACAATGCTAAACATTAATAGATATCCACTAGAAATATGTTAGAACACACAAATATACTACGATGTGTATATGAGTGTGTGTCTGTGTGTATGCATGTATGTATGTATACACCGGTATATAATGGTATACGTGTATATGTAAATATGTATGTACCAAAAATAAAAGAAAAAGGGCTCCAACATATGCATATATCTGGTTGATGTGTATGTATATATATATATATATATATATATATATATATATATATATATATATATATATATATATATATATATACTAAACGGCTGTAATACAGATAGAGATAAAACAACCAAACCAACAGTCTTCAGCATTGAAAAGTAGGTGATAATCTAGGATAATTAATTTTGTTTTTGATACCCACTTATCCTTAGCGATCCGAAAATAATTTTCAACACACAGTTTTTCTTTCTTTTCATATAAACTTACGAAGCCGAAAAGAGCATAAGCTTCTCCGAGGAAACGCTTCGTTACTAAAATTTTCTATTTTGACTCATTATTTTCAATTTTGTTCCAGATACTAATATACATCCTATAACCATCGCCCTATATATATATATATATATATATATATATATATATATATATATATATATATATATATATATGGGTTGCTCTCTCCTCGCGACCGAAAAATGTGGGTTGAGTAAATAATGATAGGCTCAAATTATATGGACGCGTACATGTACCCCAGTCCTGCGGGTGTTTTTAAAGTTTTAGACGGATGGAACCTGTGGTTGAGCCATTTTGTTCGAGGGACGAGAATAAGTTATCACATGTTTCTGCAAGTGGACACCAAGGCCTTCTTTATTGCATGTGACAAAGCCACATTGGCAAGAGTGGCCTTTCAACTGACCCGCTTGTTAGAAACTTACCAAAGAAAAGTTGTTTTAGAAGTCTGCTATCTCTCATACAAGAAAGATGTTCTGCCCACTCGATTTGGATTTTTATTAGGATGGCATCAATACCCATCATATTTCATTTAGTCAGAAT